CACAAACATCAGTCAGTGTTCTGACAGTTATAGTGATAATGTTGGTGATCCCTTGAAATACATAACTTTACCCAAGACCTTGAATAAAAAAGAGTAATCAAACATGAATTTACAGAAAAATGTAGAGTGAGGGGTAAGGATAAGCCAATGAAAAATTGTGTATAAACAAGAGTAACTTTATATGTAAATGTAAAAACTTTTACATATATATATATACATTTTGTGATGGTTTCATGAGTCTAATCAAATTCCTTAGACATTTATTAACCCTCTAAGCACAGCTGGGTCAAAATTTACACGTAGTGACCATTTACAGAGTTACATTTAAAATTTAATTGAACTACTTTATTTTCAGTGTATGTCAATAATCTTAGCAACAAACTGTAGTTTATATTTTAACTATTTATAAAAGTTTTCATCTCTTAATTTCAAAATGACATATTAAAAAATTGTCTATCTTCCCCTTTGTTTGTCACACTATGCATCAACACTTCAAATTCTCCACATCTAAATTTTATGATGTAAACAACAGGCTTCTACAATTTCCAACTAATATATATGATATATGAAAAACTGGCCAAACCCATCAGAGAAATCACTTCCATCTCTTTCTTTCTTTGAAGATTGAATACTAATCACTTTCACATGGCCAATGGGCATGTTTATAACTAATACGAAGAGCAGATTCTATTCCACATAAGCTTCTTACAGTTATTTCTTTTTTGTGGGAATACATGGACAGTCAATGCTAATTTTCTTTGTGATGAAGAACTGTTAATAGAGTTTTAACTTATTTATAGTTTAGTTAGAAAGCCAGATAAATTATAGTAGTTTTGGGACATTCTGTTCTAGTGACTAATATATCATTTGTATCTAAAAATTCATATTTGAAAGCTACACAAATTTTCATCTGGGTAGCCAACTGAAAAAGTATAGTCTTGTGAAAGCAAAGATCACATAGATCACACACTGCTCGTGATGTTTATAAAATTTACCAGATTCAGGTAATGTGCTCTTACTGTGATTTATTGTTTTTAAATGGAGGGATAAACTCCTTCCTGAGTAAAAAGTTCAGCAATAAAACCACAAAATTGAAAGAAACAGGGGTGAAAATATTCACAGTTGAAATTGTGAAGATAAGCAATTTGAGACTCTCAAAACAATTATGCATTTAAATAAGAAGTAAAAAAATATTATTTATTTCACATTTTCAATCAATTTTTCATTTCAGGTACATTGATGATTTCACTATATTAGTGTTAGGTAAGATGAAATAACAGATAAAATGTATAATTTACTGAAAAACTTATGGTATTCATTTAGGAGATTCTAGAGGTTATGCAAATAAAATATGAAAGTATTCTTATTCTTAACATAAAAATTACCTTCACTCAGACTGACCCAGTAAAAGACTTGTAAATTCATATACAAACCTTTGTTAAAAATACTTTATTAAAAAAGCTGATATTTTATGTACAACAGACTTGTAAAGCATGCCAAGTTTTGTGAAGATACAGTTAGTACATTTGGTGTTACAGTATGTATAGTTTCACAGTTAGTTGGTGGTTAAAAGAATACCAAAATTGACTGAGCCCTTTATCTATCAAATATGCAAAAAGTTTTATTGGTCAATTACACAGATGTAGTTAGCTATTTATATACATAAATCCAATATTATCTTTACCACACATTGATGGTATAGCAGTGTGCAAACTTGTTCACTCTATTACAGAACTATTAAGTATATTGTAAAATATCTGCATATCAACTCATTTGAAAATTAACAAGAAAGTTAAGTGTGGATCAGAAGTGGAAAAATCAATGGAGAGATATTATATATGTATGTATGTATATGTATATATATAGTTTTAATGTATAAGTACTTCATAGCTCTTAACAAAAATAATGAAGTATTTGTACCTATTAATACAAGATGAAAAATCAGTAAACTCTAACATTTTTAAGTTACATTATCTACTTACTATTCAATTATGAATGTTATACCTCCACTCACATAATAGCTTTTCTCGATTAATAATGCCCTCTATGTGCTCAATTTGTTTTTGACACTGGCTTTGATACTCTCACGTATCCACACATGTTTAATGTGGTACAGCTGCTTTGTAGCATGCAAAAGGTATGCACAACACCTCCACTAATAGGAGAGCCACACACTCTCCTGGTGCAGCTGTTTCCCCTTGGAATACAGTATGATCTCACTTCAAGATTAGGCACCAAGAACAAAATACCAGAAGTAGAGAGGAAGTGTGTGAAGTGTGAAGGGAGGTAGATATCTATAGGAAATTCATTTTCTGTGTAGGAAAATTATAACTTCCATTATGATACCTTACCTCCTCTCACATAACAGCTAGAATCTCACATTGATCTGGTGGAGGGACTGGTGTAAATTGACCTAGATGAGCCCCCTTCAGAATGCATCTACAAATAACCCCTGGAGGGCGACATTTCTGTGAAGAGGAAACACATTCATGGGAGACCATATATCTGAAACAGGTATACACTTTGCTCTGGAAATATAACAATGTCGCTAAAGGGGTGGCAAAGATGCACATACATAAGTTAGCCATATGTGCCCCAGGTATAAAATGGACAGGGCACTTCTGAACATAGTCAGGAGATTAACTCCAGTCCCAAACTGTCTGAACTGGGAAAAGAGCACCCTGTCCCCGATACAAGGAGAGTCCTCAACCATCTGTATTCAAATTGTAAACAGGAGGTCAACCCCAGTCCAAAACCAGAGGATCCGGGAATGGTTTGCCAAGTTCCCAGAAGAAGGAGGTCCTCAACCAACTGAAACCAGGAAAAGATCATCTGGCCATGGTAGAAAGGAAGTCCTTCACCATTCACCTCAGACTCAGGAACCAGAAGTAAAAAGCACATCTGTTTCGAGTACACAAGCCATCATGTGTGCATATCTAACATGACTAACACCTGAATCGTAGGAAGATGGAATGCAATGTGGAGATTCAACCTAATCAGGGATGAGAACAGGAAATGAGAAAAAGCACTGCAGGCATGGTGGTGGTTTCTGTTACTCATCTAAATATAAATGGAGTTTCAAGGGAGTAAAACCCCCTTAAAGCTGAAAGATTTTCACATTCAAAAATGCATTTAAAGCCATTCCCTGGAGTCACGTGCTCAGAAAATCATAATGAAATTTGTCATATTATCTTCAACATAAATGACTAAGTATTGGTAGATTAAGTGGGGGAGAGGAAATTATACACCAACTCCACTAGATATATATCTAGATGGAGTTGAAATTCTTTCACACACCAAAGCTGGTAGCACTGGAATTGTTTGGATCTGCTGGCTCATATCAGATGTTGCAGTAGCTTCTTTAAATCCCGTAGGCAGCTCCTTTGACATTAACTGTGCAAAATCATTTGTTATTTGGTGGGTAGAAGCAGCAGCCTGTATTGACTTTTTTGTTGCATTTTGACTGAACGTGGTTTTTTAATGCACCGAAACCCTACTCTAAATTGAGTGGGATTGAGCACACTCATGAGGAAGCTTCCATGGTCCACCACCCAAGCAGATAGGAGCTGGTAAGTGGTAAGGACTCCCATACTCCACTGGAAGAGGGAAGGGGGATGCTTTGAGAGTCCGGAGGTATGGAGAAAGAGCAATGGGTGATAATGAAAGGTGTGAGAACTATGACTGGGAGAAATGAACTGAGGTATCAGGGTCCGAACCCCAAACAGGGATTAAAGAATCCAACTGTTGAGAATCCAAAAAAGGATTCAAAGCCCAAAGGTAAGCTTAGGCACGAGTCTCAGAAGAGCAAGGGGGATGCATCATGCTAATCCTTGAATGTAACTGGTTGGTAAAATACTAATTATAGATCCTAATATTGGGAGAGGGAGGAAAAATAAAAAATTTAGGAGCAGGTGTGTCATATAACAAGGAAGAGGATGGGTCATATGAAACTGGGGATAAGGAAAAAACCTAACAAATATGTGTTACCAAGTCCAGAAAATCTGATGAAGGTCTAGGTTTATCAACTGCAGCTGAAAGAGTCTGTATTGCAAAGGAAGAAGGAAGGAAAAAGACTGTCCAAGTCTTCGTCCTCCTGTCCAGCATCTCCAGGGTAGAGAGAACTAATTGAGGGTTAGGAATGCCCCCAGGCTGCAGGAACAACTCCATTTCCTGGCGGACAAGTGTCAAAACCTCCTCTGCTTATAAAATTGCACCCGTGGTTAGAGTAACAGATGGTTGAACTAATGGTGGTGGAAGTAGTTGTGACAATAAACTGCAAATTCATCATTAAATTTTAAGAGGATAAGTACATCAAGACAAAAAGTCTTGGTAAAAAAAATGAATTGAAAGAGAGAGAGAGAGAGAAAAGAGAAATTTTCACAAAACAAATTCAACTCATACTAAACTGCTGTTAGATTATCCAAGTTGAACATGCAAGTTAAAAACTATATATAAAAGTAACAAAATATTAGCAAAATTTGATAACTCAAAGTGAGGTTAGCAAAATGTTTAATCACTTGAGTGCCAAATCAAGAAGTGAGATTAGACTATGTAATCCTGGAGAGACAGCTGCACCAGTAGTGTGTGCTGCACTCCTACTGGTGGAGGATTGTCACATGCTTTTTCCATGCTACAATGCAGGTATATCCCATTAAACACACAAAATAGGTGGGAGTATCAAGGTAAGGTACATATCAGAATAATCTATGAAATATTTGATAGACTGGTTAAGCTAAAGTCACAGTACACAGTGAAAATTTCAGGCTATTTGGGTCATATTTTTACAAAAATGATACATATAAACTTCTCTTGAAAACCTGTAAAACAGGTGAAAACAATTCAGTAATTTGGGTAATGCAATATAAGTGAAAATCATCATTAATCTGCAATGCATTGTAATATATTATCAAAATTCTTATTTCTAAATACTGAACACTCTTGATCAGGTTGATCTACTTGCCAGACAATATAAATAAGTAAATTACCATAATTTCACTTACCAATTAAAGGTGACTTGATCCTTTTCAAATGTTCTTCAAGGTGACACTGTCCACGAAAGAGTCCTAAACACATTAAAAATTAAAACAAAAAATAAAAACTTTAAATATTACAGTAAGTTTTCAGCTACAATGCAGTAAACGTGATCTGAATTAACAGTTTCCTTACGGATAATTATCATGTGTGAGTCACATTTCTTATCACCAATTCCTTGTAAAACCTGGTGTTCATATTGATCTTATGCTAATGTTTCTTTCATTCCGTTTAACCCGATCACTATCGGCTACTTACTTTCTGCATAACCAATGCAAGTTTTGCTTTATTTCATTCCAACAATAAAACTAGTGGATGAAATTGTTTAAAAC